GTGTGTGTGTGTTTTGTGTTTATGCATTCGTGTGTGTTTAACAGATACTCGAGTCTTTTTATTTGTCCAAGTGAGAGACGATGGGGGGTGGGGGGTGAGGGGAGGTAGGAGCCATGACAAGAGAACAAGACAGACAAAAATAAAAGAGGGGGGGAGGGAAGAGAAATAATAACAAAGTCTCGTCCCACGGATCCGAACACATTGATTTGGAAAAAAATATAAGATCTCTTGATTTTTATTGTCTCGACGAGCGCGCGTGACACTGGCTTCGTGTCTCGGTTTGACAGTGTAATAATATTTGCATTCTTCTCAGTCACTGCCGATGCTTCTTTTGTTTGTTTTGGATTTTCATTTTTTCTTCGTGTATTTTTTTCATTCGTTTTTTTTTCTTCCTTTTTCTTCTTTTCGTTTTTCTTCTTCTTCTTCTTCTTTTCCTTTTTCTTCTTCTTCTTTTCTTCCTTTTTTTCTTCTTCTTTTTCTTCTTCTTCTTCCTCTTCGTCTTCTTTCTTTCTTCTTCTTCTTCTTCTTCTTCTTCTTCTGTTTTCTTTTTTCTTCTTCTTCTTCGTCTTCTTCTTTTTTTCCCTTTTTCTTCTTCTTCTTCCAGTTGAAGGATAAGAAGGAATGTGCGATAGTTAGGAAGAGAAGGAAGAGGAGGATATGTGGAGGAAGGAAGGGAAGAAGGAGAAGGAAGAGAGGAGAAGGAAAATGAGGAAGATAAGGGAGAAGAGGAGAAAAAAAAAAGACAAAAAGGAGATGGAAGAAGAAAAAAAAAAATTGAGCGAAGAAAAATAGGGAAAATAGCAGAAGAAAGGGGCAGAAGAGAAGAAAAAGGAAACGAAAGAAGGAAAGAAGAAGGAAGGATAAAGGAAGGATAAAGAAATAGCTAAAGGGAAAGGAAGAGGATTTTTTTTTTTCAGTGTTAGTGTTATCACCAGAACATTACGAGTATCTTCTTAACGTGTTACTTTGAGAGAGAGATTGGCTGTAAGTAAGCCGCGTGTGTGTGTGTGTGTGTGTGTGTGTGTGTGTGTGCGTGCGTGCGTGCGTGTATAATGTATACTCAGGGATGTATTATAAGTGCGTGTATGTGTGTGAGTTTTGCGTGTGTTCGTGTTTGTGCGTGTGTGCGAGTATGTGTGTGTGTGTGTGTGCACGTGTGAATGTGTGTTAGTGTATACTCAGGGATATAATAAAAGTATGTGTGTGTGTGAGTTTTGCGTGTGTTTGTGCGTGTGTGCGAATGTGTGTACGCCCCTGTGCATGTGTACGTGTGCGTGTGCTCCGCCCTCACCCCACAGACTCGTAGCTTCAACGCCTCGTCATTCCTTTCTTGACGTTCCGGAGTTCACCTTGAAAATAGGCTTTTTAGGAATCAGCTGATCTGCGTTCTGTCGGGGGGGGGGGGGGCTGGTGGCTATTCGCGCGGCCGGAGTGAGGATTGGTGATTTGCTTTTGTTTAGTGTAGGATTTACGTTTTTTTTTGAGGGGGGAGGTGTAGGGGTTTGAAAAAGGAAGTCGTATAATGGATTTATTTTCCTTTTTTTCCTTTTTTTTTTTTACATTTTTTAACTTTTTCTTTTTTCACCATTCTTCACTTTTTTATTTGTTTATTTATTGTTCTTTTTACTTATATAAATATATTTATTTTTCTTTCTTTCTTTGTTTTTTTACTTTGCGTATGGATATTGTTTGTTTCGTTAGTCTTCGTGTTGCAACTTCTGGGATTTTGTGAGGTGGTTACGTTGAATTTCGTTGCAATTTCTCCGGTGTTTTAGTGTTTTGATTTCGGAAACATATTTGGCATTCGTATGTGTGTCTGTGCGTGTGACTGTGTGTTCCTTTTTTAGTAAGCTATAAATTAGTTGATTTTTATAAGTAATTATTTTTTCCTTGGTATATATTTTTTATTTTTACAGTGTGTGGTAACTTTTTTCTGTTTGCATATATGTACATATGTCTGTATATTTTTACGTATGTGTGTGCAGAACAGCTCCTTCCCTGTGTACACGTGTGTCTATGTACGTTCTGACTGTATGTGTGTAAGTATAGGACATCTCCTCTGTGTATATGTGCGTGTATGTACGTTCTGTGTATGTACGTGTGTAAGTATAAAACATCTTTCCTGTATACACGTGTATCTCTGTATGTGCTGTGTCTGTGTACATGTGTAAGTATATAACATCTCCCTCCTTGTGTACATGTGTATGTGCGTTCTGTATCTGTGTACATGTGTAAGTATATAGCATCTTCCTCCTTATGTACACGTGTATGTACGGTCTTTATCTGTGTACATGTGTAAGTATATAACATCTCCCTCCTTGTGTACGCGTGTATGTACGTTCTGTATCTATGTACGTTTTGTATCTATGTGTAAGTATAGAGCATACCCCCCCCCCCCCCTCCGTCCGCGCGCAAATCATGGCCGTATGCGGAGGTGCGCGGCCGCCCTGTCCGCAGAAGGCGCCGCACAGGCCGAGTGGAAGTGTCGGCCGCGGGCAGGTCGTGGCGGTCAAGATGTCTCAACGTTCATGATGGTGTTAAAGCTGATGCATTTTACATGACAAATTGCTGCCGTTATGTTGGGTAAAGGGGGCTTCTGTGCTACCGAGGGACACGCACGCACGGACACACGCACGCAAGGACTGTGTGAGGTGTTGAGACCTTGCACACACGCACGCACGCACGCAAGGGTGTATATTAGCTGTATACATCTTGCACACACGCACACACACAAGGGCTATATTGGGTGTATAGGCCTTGCACGCACACACGCACGCACGCACACACGCACGCATCGTTTGTCGAATGTCTCTTAAACAAAAATTTCTTCTGAAGCTCGAAGTCGGTAAATGGGTTTTATTTTGTCCTTTTTGTTCTGGCGACCAAGTTTTATTTTTTTATTTTTTATTTATTTTTATTTTTTTTTTTAGATTTCCTGCCGGACTTTTTACTGGCGTTGTTGTGTTTCCATTTGTTTTATTCATTTATTCAATTTACTCCATCTCTCGGGAAAATTCCCGGCTATTTTTTTTTTTTGTCTGGCTGGTCCATGAATGAATGCAGGTGTATCTAAATATTTGGGGGTGTATATGAATAT